TATGATCCTTTCCCTGTTTAATTCTGTGAGACTCTCATTTCAGTTTATCACCACAAGTATAGTAGACGGCCCCTCCCCTTCATTGACTTATACTTTCTTTTTTTCTTAAATTCTTTCCTTCCTCCCTCCCTTTTCCCTTTTCTTCTTCCCTCTTCTCCCTTCTACCCTGATGTGTCCCAACTCTTTTTTCCTCCATTCTCTCTTTTTCTGATATTTTCTTCCAATAGCAGCTGAGGTATTTTTTCTGTGAAACATAAATTATAAGTAGTTGTAAAAAGAAAAAGCAAACGAGATAATATGGAGCTAAGAACAAACTGGATATAAAAACACATTCCATAAAAGCCCACAGAGTACATACAAAAGGACCATGAATCTGAGACTAATTGGCGTCCCAGCAGCCAAGAAGGAAAAGAACACTGCTTGATCACTTATACAACTTACAGAGTCCACGACATAAAAAGAGGCTAATTGGACAGAAAAAACGCTTAACTATTGCTTGTAATAAGGACAGACAGGAATTTCTCCTGAGGGTATAAATTTATAAACAATAAACTCAACAAACTACCTCTTAGTAGACACAAGAGTGAGTTTTGTGGGGCTCCTTCATCGAGCAACCCTCTGTTCACAGATGGCATCTTGCCAAAGCTCTGTTTGGTAACAATTTGATGAGTCCCGGTCACTGCTCTGCCTTTTTATCTGCTACAGAGATGAGAGCGACTTACAAAGCTCAGGAAAGGAAGTGAAGGCAAACAGCGTAGGCAGCCGTGTCTGACCAGAGGCCAACACCTAGATTCCCATCTTCATGGAATGTCAGCTGAGCGTCAGACTCCACCCAGAGAGGAAGTGAATACTGTCTAGAAAATTGAGTTTCAGAGAAGATAAATTGCATTTGCATGTTTTCCTGTGCAATCTTTAATCAGCATCAGCACACCAGGGCAGTAAACAATTCCCTGAGTCTAGTTGGCCTTCCTGTGGCATGGAAAGGCCAGGTCCAGCCTAGACCATACCGCTTGCTAACTGCTAATTCTGGACCTGGAAATGGTAGGAATACAAAACTACTGATGCCCGACATTTGAGTCCAAAGAATTTAAATTTAATAACATCGAGAAGACCAAGAAAAAAAATATGTTTTCTATGGTAACTGTTAGGCAACAAAATGTTTTAGGTGTTTTGTTTGTTTGGTAAATCTCTTTAGGGTGTCCCAGAGCCCCAAATTTCTAAGAGCAGCATCTTAATCTGACATTTCATTGGTGGTCTCTCTTCTTGGTGTTCTTGACCTGTTTCTTAGTTTTGTTTGGAATGAAGATTTTGACTTTTGGGCAGAGCTTTGCAAAACATGTGGCAAGGACCAGGGTATTTCCTCCCTCCTCCTATCTATCATGGATTCATATTTTTATAAAAACCAATGTATGACCAGAAAAATGATCATGTGTTTGGAGATTGTGGCAATGTCAAATTGTTAAAAACATTTCTGAATACTTACTCTCAGTTCTTGTGTTTGTCCCTTTGAGGACTGGTGACAGATTGTAGATGGACTTAGTATCTGGGCTCTTCTTGCAGGGAGCCCAGCTCCAAGGTACCTGATGCCCTTCAAAGTCGAATTCTAGTTGGTGTGTGATCAAGCAGAAATGCTGTTTGGTTTAATATCTTCCAGCAGTTTTAACTCACTTTCCTGTCCATCTGTCCATTTAGAAGGTATTATGCTGACCTAGCAGATAAGAAGCTGCAGGGCAGCCACCAGGGCCAGGGCTGGCTGTAGAATGAACAGGGCTCAGTGCAAAATGAAAATATGGGGCTTGTTATGCAGAAATTATTAAGAGTTTCAAGACAGCGATGGCAGAGAATTAAGTCAAGTTTGCAGGGCCCTTCCGATGGTAGGGCTCTGTTCAGTTGCAAAGGTCCCACACCTGTGATGCTGTCTCTGGCTGGGATCCTCAAATTGCTCCTACTAAACTTAATACCTTAGCAAGACTCCATGTGCCTGCACTGACAGATGCTCTAGGAGACATCCCTGTGAAACTCATTCTGGTGTCCACTCAGGCCCATGTGGTCTCTGCTCAAAGATGCTGTTGCTGCTGACAGAGGTGTCCCTTGACATGTGTGCTTGACCTAAAAAAAACAAAACCAACCATGAACAACAGTCCTTTTTACATTGCATTCTGTGAAGCCAGGTGTGTGTTAGAGACTATTGTCAATGTAATTTCAGCTTCTTAGCCCTTTAGAGGACATTTACTTCAAGCTTTCTCTGATTTCTGAATGCCAGGGCAACAAGGGGAAATAAAAATAATCACGTTGGCAAGTGCCAGAATTATTCTTAGGGAACAAACTGTGTTTTTTCCCTTTCTTTATAAACAGGGTTATGTGGACCAATAGAGTGTGATCAAAAGATGCCCTTGGTTCTTTTGGAAGGTTTAGTCTGGAAGGTGAGGACAGGAAGAAGAGGAAGGCCCTTTAGATAGACTGATGTTTACAATTCAGTATTAAGTTGTTTTAATAACTGTAAGGCAGACGTCCTCTTTCTGTCTTCTTAAACCTTTAATAAAGTCTGCAACACATATAAGCGCTTTGTGTGATCATTTTTTCTTTTCTCTCACTCTCTCTCTCTCTCTTCTTTTTTTTTTGGTAAATCAAATAAAGAGGTTATTCCATTTAGGGTCTGTGAGGTGCAAAATAGAAACAGCACCTGCAGGACAGGATAATATCAGCAAAATTCAGGGGATAAGAACTTAGGCTTTGGGACCAAAGTGCCTAGGCTTGGATCTCAGCACCAACAGTTACCAGCTCTGTTAATCTCAGGAAATTATTACCTTCTCTGGGCTTCAGTTTCCTCTGATAATAGTAATGGTCCCCACTAAGGTTATTGTGAATATAACAGAGGTTGTCGCCTGTAAAGCTCAGAGAACAGTGCCTGGTTCGGTCAGTGTGTTAGCTATTATTATCAAAGCATAAGCTGCATTAATTTAATGAGCACTCATTGAGCTACCCCCTTTTTAAAAAAACTCCTGAGGTAATGTGTCCATCTTTGATCCCTGCCGTTCATCCAGTCATCCCTCACTCTCCCTCCTTCATTTCATCATGACTCCTTCAGCTGTAGAAAAATCCCCTGTTTGGGTCTCCACGGTGAGGGTCCATTGCTTAACTTTACTTTCCTACACAGTTTCTTTCTTTAATGTATCTTTACAACATTTTCCTTAGCTGTTTGGCATCCACCTCCCCCTTTCCCAGTAACTGCATGCTTGTTTAAGAGCTCTGACGGTATTCACCTGCTCTCGACGTCTTGTCCAGGGAGGCTGGCTCATCACCACACTCACGCTCACCCCTGCTGGGGAGAGGACATTATCAGTGGCCTATTGTGCTAGACAGTAAGAAACCCGTGTGGAGCCTGCCTCAGGGTCCAGAGGTTACTATCGATGCAACAAGGACACACGCTTCCCGTCAATAAAGAATTTAAGAGCAGTTAACGGAATTGATGTTCAATTGTCCCAACATAGTTTTTGAATTCTGCTCATGAACTATTTCAAAAGGCTAAATAACTATAATGGTACCAATGCTAATGACAATAAGCTATTTATTGGGCACATATATGCCAGGCTTTGTTCTAAGTATTTTGTATGTACTCACTCATTAATTATTACAGAAATCTTATGAAATAGGTTTTTTTTTTTCCTCTGTTTTTACAGATGACTGAACTCCTGATCCTTGAAATTGGGTTCCATGTTTGTGAAATAAAAGCGCTGATCTCTGTGGTCCCTTTCAACTCTGAGGGTAAGAACGATCTGTCCAGGGAACGCAGTAATGTTGTACTCTAAACCAGTGGTCCTCAAACTTTGGTTAGTATCACAATTGCCTGGATGGCTTGTTAAAAACCAGATTGCCTGGCCCTACCGCCAGAGTTTCTATTTCAGTGAGTCTGAGTCGTGTCTGAGAATTTGTATTTCTTTCAAGTTCCCAGGTGATGCTGATGGTGCATTGGGCTGTGCCCAATAACGTGAGGTCATGATGTCATTCAGGACTGGGGGGAATGATGGCAGAATTCTAGGGCTATGGGGTCACCTCCCATAGGATCGCCTCCCATATAAATAAGTAAGCTGCAATGCCAGTTATATATACATATATATTCGTACATATATATATTTCTCTTTATCCCACTGGAATAAGAAAAACATCTTTTACTTCTTTTAAAATCTGGGGGAGTACATTGATTTGTGTCATGCCAATCTGCTTTTTTTAAAAAATAGACTATTTTTTAGAGCAATTTTAGGTTCACAGCAAAATTGAGTGGGAAGTACAGAGTTCCCATAAAGCTGCTGCTCCAACGTGCACACTCTCCCCCACCACCAACGTCCCCCACCAGAATGGTGTGTTTGTAACTGTCGGCCTTGACGCGTCATTATCACCCACACTGCCCATAGTTTACATTGGGGTTCACTCCTGGTATTGTGCATTCTATAGGTTTTGACAAATGTGTAATGACATGTATCTAAAATCCTGCTCTTATAAAAGATAAATTTTTAACTATTACTAAGTAAACAAATTTTCACATTTCCCTTTGCTTTTATAGAATATGTTGTAATTTTGTTCAGAAGTAAAATAATATTCGTTTTACTGAAAGGATCCATCTGTTCCTTGCCTCCCACCTCTACCCCTGCCCTCCTAACCACACACACACTCACATACTTTTTTTATTTTTGAAAGTTAAGGAAGGCATGATAAAAAGATCCTATTGGCTACTTTAAATTTTTTTCAAAGTTAGGAAATTCCCAGTAAAAGAAACTCTGCTTCAGATTTCAATGGCAAACCAGCCATGGGATTAAGTGGATTAATGTAAAAAGCTTTCTCAAAAAGAAAAAGAAAATCCACTCGTTTTCTTCTGAGTGAATGTGTCTGTGATTTCAATGACCCCGACAGGGCCAGTATGACACAGCCACCACACAAATGGATGGTAACAGCTGTACTGTAACACAGGGAAGACAGAGATTGCACATCAGTGTGTGGTTCCGAAATGCTTATCTTTATGTGAGTCCCTTTATTGTAGGTTGTAGGGCTGTCCTTTCAACAAATCTTCCCTTCAATATATTAGCAGTATTTAAAGGGCCCTGTGTTATGGTGGAAAGAGCTATATAGGTTTTTGATTAAGTCAGGTTTGGGTTTGAATCTAAAACTCATATATTTTCTTACATATTTTTAATATGATTACAGAACCTGAATATTATGTCATGAATCAGTTGTATTATTATTTTTGTTGCTTGCCACATCTAATTTGATCAATGATATTCTGCTATCTTTTCAATTTTCAAAAAGACAAAGGATAAAACAGAAAGTTTAGAAATAAGGAACTAGGAAAATAATGAGAAAGAATAACACATATCTTGCCCAGATAAAAAAGAAATTCTCTTTAAAAAAAAAAAGATTGTAGAAACCTTCCTCAGGATCCAAAGTTAAATATTACATGTTTGCTCTCTTTGGATAAAGAGTTTTACAAATTTAGTTTTATTTTAATTCTTTTTGATTCTGGCCTCACTTTACCTCACACTGGCTCTAAGTATCCAGGTCAATGTGAGCACTGATGGGCATGTCCCTTCTAAGAATATTTACCATGTCACTGATAAGGTCTGAGTGGAGAGGGGGAGAAATCCAGAATAGACAGAAGATGAAATGGTGTTCGAGATCTCCACTCTTAACCAAATCTGTGACAAATGGGAGGTTGTCCTTTGTACAAAATATCTTTGCTGTTGCCTATGAGATGTCATATGTCAATTGTTCTGAGATCACAAACATAAAATCAACCTGAATTTAACAAAAACATTTTCTTAGGGGTAAACCAATTCAGCAGCCTGACTCACAGGATATATCAGAATGTTGGGGTATATCCAGGGCTCAGGGAGTCTTGGCAGAGTTGTGGATTCTGGAGACAAAATGTTATAGCTGTGGTATTTAGCCATAGCTGGGATATTCCTACCTATTCATGATATTGGAGACCTGAATCACTTGCTTTGTCAGTGCCACAAAGGCCTTGGAATTTATATTTGTGGTTTGAGACTTGAGAAGACCTGAAAACAGCTCCTGCTTTTTTTCCCAGCATGAAACCCAATTATACTTCAAGGGCTTTATACCAGCAAATATAATTATTTCTTTTTCAAAGTTGATTCAAATCATTACCACAGCTGTCAGGCCTGAAGTGGAAAAAAAAATCATACAAGGTATTATTACTTTAAAAAAAAAAGGAAAATAAAATGTAATGAATACTATTTACTCCCTAATTTCATGTCTTTGAAGAAAAATTCTATGGAAAATGTATGATTCTCATTCAAAGTGGTTTTATCATGGATTTGATTAGTCAATTAAAAAAAAGAGGAAACGATATTCCATTTAATGCATTTATGCTTATCATTGGTAAAACACAGTTCCATGTACATGGCCAACAGGTGGTTAGTTAAGTTATTTATGGTGGTCAAATGTGGGTGATACAGGGGACATCTATTGGACTCAGGGATGTGGTTGACAAGGGAGCATGATGGTTCTAACACTGGGTGCTGGAAAAGCTCATGGCCCACCAGTTGCCATGCAATTTACTCCACAAACATTTTTTGACACTCTCTGGGCCAGTCTTCCCACTTTACTGGGCATATAACACCATTGAGGTCAACCTCAACTCCCAAGGGGCTCACAGCCCAGTGGGTATAGTCAGAAATCAGCACTCTGAGAGAGGCTACTGTGGGAGCCTTGAGTACGAGGTTCTTATGTCCTTCGGGTGGTGGCGAGAGGTTTTGCTTTTGTTTTTGCTTTTTAATAGAGAGGATACTGAGGCTTTAAGCACTCATATAATCAAGAAGTGACAAAGCTGGGATTTGGAACCCTTGTCCTTTGCCTATGCTGTGTTAACTCCTCTGAGGGTGGGAAGGGCTTGCTGAGGCATTAGATAGAAGCAGTGGGACAGAGATAGCTTGGAAGATTTTTAAGAGATAAGATGGGGGAACCAATTGAATGCTGAGTGACTTAAGAATAAGTCTGGATGAATCTTGGGTGGAAGTCTGGTTTGGGCAAGGAGGAAGATAGTGACAGTAGTTCCCAAGAAAGGGAAACAGTAGATAAGAGAAAGAGCAGGGATGGTAGTGGTCTCAATTTTAGATCTACTGTGTTCCTACTGCTTATGAGTCTAGATGGTATTTAACACTTAACAGGAGAGGAGCTGTGAAGTGGCAAATGGGTTTTGGAAGTCTTTGGCATACGGTTGGTGGTTAAAAATGTGTGAAGATGGCATTTCCCAGGGAGAATGTGTAGGGAAACAAAAAGTAGTTTGAGGCAAGGAACCTGAGAAACACAGGAAGAGGAATGGCAGACAAAAATGAGTTGGAGAAGAAATGATCCCCAAAGGAGACTGAGAACTAACAGTAAAGTGGTTGAGAAGTCAGGAACACTAGTTTCAAGAATGGTGATGGTTGGTAAATAAAGGCTCATAGTTGCCTGTTGTATGCCCAGCGCTGTTCTAGTCACCAAACAATTAGCTTCTTTGACCCTCACGACTCCATGAGGTCAGTGCCATTATTATTCCCATTTGATGGCTCTAACTTGGCTGGGTCATGCATTAGAAGACAGGGAAGCTGGCAGTATGTCTCCACAGCCCATACATTATATTGCCTTATACCAAGGGTTTGGCCTGTTCAGTTTCCAGAGAAGCTACAAAATGTGATGGTTTCCTTATCTTACTTTTGGCTTTTTATACTTATTTTTCCTTTTCCAGGTTAACCTTGAAATTCTTTTAAACCCAATTTCTCCTGTGTAAACTCCTGGGGGAATGATTTGCTAAAGTGCTCATTGCCTTGGGGATTGCTCTGCTCTCATTATGCTCCTGGTATAAACTCAAAGAAAAGTGTTTCACATGGTATTTGGTTCTTAACAAATGCTTGTTGACTGAAAACATGAAGGGGCCTCGCCTGGACACCAACCTGTGTTATGTTCAACACATTTCTTTGGTATCCATACCATATCAAACCATACCATCCTAGACCATACTGTGGTGGCCAGTCTCCAAGATGGTCTAATGATCCTTGTCTCCTGGTATTCATGTTCTTCTATAATCCCTTGCCCTAAGTGTGAGCTGGACTTAGTGTCTTGCTTTTAATGAATAGACTAAGGTAGAAGTGAGGTTGTATGACTCGGAGATTAGGCCATGAAAGGTAGTGTAGCATCATTTATTTTTCTCTGAGGGAAGCCATGTTATGAGCTTGTCCTGTAGAGAGGTATACACAGCAAGGAACTGAAGCCTCCTGCTAACAGCCACATGATGAACTTGGATGTGGATCCTCCAGCCACAGTCAAGTCTTTAGAGATTGCAGCCCCAAATGGCATTTGATATAGGGGGCCAATGGTCTAGGTTTTCCAGAGACATTCCTAGGTTTAACACTGGAATTCTGTATCCTCTGTTATGGGCAAACTGGAATGGTTGGCCACCCTAGCTTCACTGTGACCTCCTGAGACCCCTCCAAGCCAAAGCCATTCAACTAAGCTGCTCTAAGATTTCTGACTTTCCAGAAACTGTGTGAGATATTAAATGTTTCTTATAGTGATTTTGGGGTCATTTGTAACCAGTAATGGATAAGTAATACCCATACCATATCATACTGCACCAAGAAACCACATTCTGTCCTGACAAGAAGGCTGCTGGAACATGCGAAGGAATAGGCTGTAATTTTCTAACCTCTGCTTAGGAGATTTCTCTAGATCCTACTCCCCTATATGAGGGAGAATATTTTGTTTTTCCTGGC